AGGCCACATCTTTTGTTTTACCCACCATCATGCTCCATGTTGAATAAGAAACGCGGCCTAGCTAACTAATGAATGAATATTTGCTGTAAAATTATTATCAATGCTATAAGTGTAGCTATTTTGGCCGCCATTTTTAATTTCATTCCTTTAAGTCACACGCTGAATCATTTTTTGGCCGCACTTTGTTTTCACACATAAGGTGTTTTTTCATTAGATAAATATCACTGTTAAAAGACTTAGAAGGCGATCTATCGAATTGCGTGGTTTATTTACTAATTCGTTTTTGCATGTGTTGAAGAAAACGTTTACACCCAATATGTTATACTTTCTTGTTTTTTATAGGGTGTGCCAAGGTCCTACAGAAATGAAATCTTGTATAATTGCAAGCCACTGTACATATCTAATAGTGATATTCACAGCTTTACATATTTTAGACCGTCAGGTAGGTTATTATGTACATATACAGTATTTTAGTAAACTGTAAACCATTCATTTAATCTTATAAATTACTATACTTACCATTAAAGTTAGTTATGTTTGATTTCTTCTATTGTTTTTATTTTTGTAGCGTAAACTCTGCTGTACCTGAAGAAACAATAAAAATATTTGTGTTTTAAGTTAAAGGTCGTGAACTTTGTTAATTCTGTTTGTTTCCAGTTTGCCACGTTGAACACGTAAGATGAAAGGGTTAGAATCAAAAGACCTAGATAATAGGTCATAATACCTGTTAAAATACTTAGATAATAGGTCATAATACCTGTTAAAATACTTAGATAATAAGGTTTAATACCTGTTAAAATACTTAGATAATAAGGTATAATACCTGTTAAAATACTTAAATGATAAGGTATAATACCTGTTGAAATACTTAGATAATAAGGTATTGTTACCACAGCGGAAGTTATGTGACGCTGTTGGCGCCTGCGTGACTGAATTTATCGAATTATCGGGGAACCCCGCGAATTTTGGAGAAGCCTCTTTATTAGTATATAAGCCTGGCGAGAAAAGCCAGCGGGATTGAATGTATGGTTAAGTGTACAGTAGTCACGGGGATTTTCGGGTAATTTACGATTCTGTTTCGAGCTAGTGTGTCTTTTGCACACGTAGAGAGCGAAAGTTATCGAGATTGTGAATCTCTGTGACTTATAAGGTATATTATAAAAGCTGTTAAGTTTAAAGTGACGAGAAACGTACTGACTGTGGAATTATTGTGTACTAAAAGTTTGTATCGAGAAAGAATAAATTGGTTTAATCCAGAAAGAACTTGTATTGCTGAAGTTCCTTGGAAAGAATTTCTACCAGAAATTAACAAACAAGCAGATACGTAACAAATTGGTGTCAGAGAGTGGGACGAAAAAATAAAGAAGATGGAAACGAGAAGTGACAAATCAAACTACGACTTAGCAGATTTGATGGCAGCAATACAAGAACAGCAAAAGAAACAAGAAGAAAGAGAAAAGAAACTAGAAGAGTCTATGAAATTCCATATTCCTCCAATGAAATTACATTGGAAAAACGCGAAGAAGACTCGCGACAAGAATAAAGAAGACAAAGACAGTACAAAGCTCATGAAAAAACAAAATCAGCCATTGCAGAACACATCATGTCAACTGGACACAAAATAAACTGGGATAAGACTAGCATCATCGATACAGACAAATTTTGGAAAACGAGAAAAATTAAATAATCTTTCTACATTAACACTCAAAAAACTTTCA